CAGGCTGTCCCCCTGCAGCCCATGGAGGTCCACGGTGGAGCAGATATCCACCTGCAGCCTGGGGAGGACCCCACGCCAGAGCAGATGGATGTGCCCAAAGGAGGCTGTGACCCCATGGAGAGAGGAGCCCAGGCTGGAGCAGGTTTGCTGGCAGGACTTGTGACCCTGTGGGGGACCCACGCTAGAGCAGGCTGCTCCTGAAGGGCTGCACCCCATGGAAGGGACCCACACTGGAGCAGTTCATGAAGAACTGCAGCCCGTGGGAAGGACCCACATTGGAGAAGTTCGTGGAGGACTGTCTCCCATGGGTGGGACACCATGCTGGAGCAGGGGAAGAGTGTGAGGAGTCCTCCCCTGAGGAGGAAGGAGCAGCAGGGACAACGTGTGATGAACTGACCGCAACCCCCATTCCCCATCCCCCTGCGCCACTCAGCAGGAGAAGGTAGAGAAAAACGGGAGTGCAGTTGAGCCCAGGAAGAAGGGAGGGGTGGGGGGAAGGTGTTTTAAGATTTAGTTTTTATTTCTCATTTTCCTACTCTGATTTGACTGGTAATAAATTAAACTGAGTTTCCCCGCGTCGAGTGTATTTTTCCTGTGATGGTAATTGTTGAGTGACCTCTCCCTGTCCTTATCTTGACCCATAAGCTTTTTGTTATATTTTCTCTCCCCTGGCCAGTTGAGAAGGGGAGTGATAGCGCGGTTTTGGTGGGCACTTGGCATCCAGCCAGGGTCAACCCACCACACCAGATAAAGAGTTGGCAACAGAAAAGTGCCTATACCTTTTAATACAGTCAAAGACTTAGATGCTCTAACATCCTCACAGCAGAAGAGTCAGTCTTACTCTACGACATAGGCAGGGATTAAAAAAACCCCAAAACTATCCATCCTTTACGGCACAGGGTCAAGAGCAGGGTTGAGAAAAAAAGGGGGGGAGGGGGAGATTTAAAAGCTCTCAAACTCCATTTCAGTCCACAAGACAACACAGCCTCCTGTAATCAGCCAAGTTCGAGCACACAGCACTGCTCACCTCCCGGTTATGCTGCTCTCTGAGAAGTTCTCGTAGTGTCCGGTTGGTTTCTTCAAAGGTGCTCAATTTCTGGAGAAGCAGCTCTTTTTGTCTTGTCAGTGCGTTAATGTCTGAGCTGCTCATGTGTTTCTCCTAGAGGAAAAACAAAAAACCCAACACTACCATCCCCCCAAAAAACAAAAAAAAAATTGTTCACATGGAATTAATGTAGGAAGCTGATACAAGCATGAGCAGTGCAATAGTCAGCACCATGTGTACAGAAGGTAACTGCAAGTAAATACCCCACTTCCAAACAAACCAGCAAACACGTTAAGCATGTTAAATCCCTCCACCCTTCCTTACATTTTTCTGGATCAGCAACTGTAACATTACATTTTTAAGACAGCTGTATAACAGGACAACATACTAAAGGCAAGAAGAAAAAAGGACAACACCTACAATATTGAGTCTCCCAATTGTATTTTTCAGGGCATGGATCTGCCTGGCTGCTGCTGCTCCATCCCTTTCTGCTTCGCTCAGCTTGGTCTCTTTCTCATGCTGCAAGTACTTTTTCTGTAGCCTGTAATGAGAATTCAGCCATCAGAGAAACAAGAAGCTTTGACAGCTGTACCAGCCACTACTAATATACAGTTGATTGGGTTAAAACTCATAAAACCCCTTGAATGAGAGGATAAAAGCTCTAAAACACTGTTCAAGATTTCAGTGTGGAAGTTTTTCTGATAGAAGCCAGTAAGTAGACAACAGGAGCTTGCTAGGACCACAACTATGAAACAGGAATTTAGAGGGGACAAATCGGGCTTATACCAAAGCCTGCACACACTATTAAACCCAAAACACAATGCTATGCTTTTCCTGAGCACTTAAGCCACACCAGAGATAAGACTCCAAATGGCTGAACATGAAACAGGAAAGCACACTAAGAAATACAGCTCAAAGTTTTTAGCCAGGGCTTGTAATCTCAGAAGTATTCACAAAGTTTTCTGAAAAAGGAATAACAGTATTAACTTCCAAGTGATCTTTCTTAAGAAAAAAATAAAACTAACTCTTTTAAAACACTAGTGTCCCCCTGGAGACACAAATTTCCCTAATTCTTTAGATACAAAGCAGACGCAAAAACGTCAGACTTTGAGACCTTCAGGGTCACTAAGAAAAAAAAAAAAAAAATCATGATTCAGTCCTCTCAGGGGCTGTCACTCTGGTCTCACTATGATTTTCACAAAGGCCAAAAATTCTCCGCTAGCTTTCAGCTCTATGTTTATTCATTTGTTGTTCTACCAATATCATCACAATTCAAACAGCATCTCTTAACCTTCAAAATATTAATTGCAGAGCTAGGATGACCCTCCAGCAGGCCACACAAGCCAACTGCTCTCAGGTTCCTCTCAGAGTTTTCCTTTCCAATAATCACGCTAGAGTCCTTCTCTGCAGCTATTGCCATCTTAAGTCCCCCTTCTAAAAGGTGACAAAAAAAATCCAAGAACATCAGTTCTTCAGCAGCACTGCAACCCAAGGTACAAACTACAACTTCAAATAATGTTAGCAATAAAGGAAGTGGGTGCCCTGTAAATACCACTACTTGCAGTAACAACAGAGAACTGGAGCTTTCTTACACAGTTAGATCTTTCTCTTCCTTTATGCGTTCAATATTGCGCCTGAGCAGTGTATTTTCGTGTTCTGTTTCTACCAGCTCTTGTGTGACCTCATTCAGTTCTTCTTTCTGCTCCTCAAGGAGACGCTTTGTCATTTGCTGCTGTTCCTCCTTTTTCTGCAGCTTGGCCTGATGAAGATATTTAAATAGAACTTGAGACAAACCAGGTGCTTTTAAAGTGATACACTCAATCCACATCTCAAACCAGTGAACCAGCTATTCAACTGCACCAAACAACAAAGGATGATACTTCTTCAGTTATTGCCTGGAAATACCTCCCATCCCACAAACACAGGGAGACACAAGCGTCCTGGCTCTAAGTCCAAAAATTGTCATCAGCCATGAGACAGGTGACACACCTCAAACATGGCAGGAAAGGAGCTCTGGTAGCAGTTCACACGCTGGAGATGGCTCCCATTGCTCCACTATTGCTTTGTGAGATCCAGGGAACTGGGTGAAATCAACCTAAATAGTCCCTGGCATTTTGTTTCCATCTACCCATTCTGGATTACTCAGGAGGTTCTGTGGCAGCTCAGTGTCACTGCTGGTAGTGTGAGTGGAGTTGTGTACAGCCTACTCAAGAGCTGAATGGGGCTCCGAAGTTGACTACTGCTCCTCATGAATGACACATGCATCCCATTTGGCAGTTAAGAGCACTACAAACAGTTGAAGATGCGCAAGAAAAGAGAACATAGAGGGGGGTTGAACTACTGTACCAGACTTGTTTCTTTTTGCAGCAAAAAAGATCACTGGAGATTCCCTGGCTTGTACTGAATTAAAGCTAACAAAATTAATGTGATCTTACACATGGATTTAAGTGACACTATCAAACATTTACATTCAATTAACTTATTAAAAGTATCAAAATGGATTTTTGTTTTACAATCATGCAAGTAATTCCATTAAATTTTGTAGCATAAATAAAATGGAAAACACTTAATATAAGAATGTACTTGACTCAAATCCTATTCTTGTTCACTGATTTGAACTTCATGTAGTTCCAAGTAATAATAAGAATACAAGATTTTCTACCCTCGGTGTTAACTCAAAAATGCAGTTTGCCCCCACAATAGAGCATCTTATGAAATCTGGAAACTCCTTCTACCCATTTTTTAAATGGCATCAAGTATGTAAGAGGCTATTTATCTGGAAAATACAACATCACTGGGTTGCACATTTTGAAACAGAATCAGAAGAAACAAATCTGTTGAGTAAGTGGATTCTTTGACAATAAAACATCAACATACTGTATTTTTCACCTTCTGGAAGGACCAGTTTTCAGATCTGGGGCTTGGGCAGAAGACAGATTATTTGGAAACTGAAGCACAGCAATACCTTATTAAACGGATAATGTTTTAAAATGTTTCATAGTAGGGCTTAGTGAATTTCTCCCTAGGATAGTTCAGCTCTTCTAAACAACTGATTTTTTTTAAGCAAGCTAACCAAAGGCCTGGGTAGTTGTCCATTGCAACAAGACTTGACTCCAGCCTCCTCTTGCCAAACAATCAGCTACAAAGCCTGAGTCAGCAGGTCCTTACACTGCCTCCTCACCTCATTCTTCAGCGTTCCCACTACATTCATCAGGCTATCTATCTTCTTTTCATATTCATTCATTTTACAGTAAACAGCATCCTCCTCATCTGTAGAGAGGTCACTCAGGCGCAATACTGACAGCATTTTTTCTGAATCTGGAGGTGTAATTTCTAGGCGGTGAGTTGGTCCCTGGTGGAAAAGCAATAAAAGGCAAATTTTTTTTAGTATAAAGTTATAAACACTATTCTAACCCTAACTCTGCCAAAAACAGAGACTAGGTCGCATCACTGCAATAAGGCTAGTAAGGAAAAAAAAACATTTGTAAACAGCTCTTTCATTTCCATCAGGGAAAGGTCAAGAACGCAGAAAGACTAGAACAGAAATGAAGAAAAAATAATGAAAGTTCAAATTCTCAACCAGCAAGAGCCAGGAATACAGAAGGCAAAACTATCAACCCATGAGAAAGAAAATACACAAACGCTCCATGCTTTGGAAGAGACTAAGAACAGCAACTCCTCACTGTGCCTCCAGATGAGATCTTAAAGGGGACTAGTAAAACTACAATAAACAAAGAAATTTGTCTGGCTTCTAGAGGCAGAAAGGCATGATATGGCCATAGACTGCTAATTAACTTCCAAGTTTTCTATATTAAAAAGTGAAAAAGATTTACAGAAGACACTTAAAATGGATGGTAGGTGACAGTAGCCTTCTTTCAGATCAGCTCAGCTCCCTCACTACACAACTGCTCTCTTCAACCTCAGATAAACCTCAAAGTTTGTTTAAAAGAGCAAAATCAGCCATACCTCCCATTTGCAGGTGGACTCCCGCACAGATGTTTTGCCTGGGGGCATCCAGGGGGCCTTAGTTTTCACCCGGACAGCTCGGCACATGTTTGTGGTATCCCCTTTCGTTTTCTGTTTGTGCTTTTGCTAAAGAAAGAGAAAATAAAATAGATCACAGACTTTTAAAGAACCATTTACAATTTTCAGTGCTGCAAACCCAAATGAAAGTTCATTCATACAAAAATATCACAGTGTTTCACACGATACATCAGATCAGACGAGCTAGCAGCCATCAGAGGAGGCGAACACCAGCCAGAAGGAAAGGTTATTGCACATTCCGTTGACAGTATGGCTAGATGTAGTACATTCTTGTCGATCACATAACAACTCTGTTATATCACTGGGATACCTGCACTTGTGATGTGATGAGAGCCTTACCCAGCAGGCCAGGGGTGGGAGATGGGGGTGGGTGGGAAGGAAGTCTCCTCTGTATGGAGATACACAAAAAAAATACTGCAATACAACCCATTCACGTGAAGAAGGAACAACCTGGGAGATCCCTCTCCATTCCAGATTCATTTCACAAAAAAGCAGCTGTATCATTTGACAACAACACTACCAGAGAAAAAAGAACAGTGCAGCATGATTGGTTACAAAAAGCCCCTGAAATGTTTTCCCTGCTTTGCAATCAACTAATAGATCCACACTTACTTGTATTGAGCTTGACATGCTCTAACTGAAGGAAAGTTAAAGTCGTTTTGCACAATTCTAACCTTAGAGAAATATCAGATATTCTAAATATTCCCTACAGGCAACTAATTAATAGGACTCATTGATTTCACTGTCAGGCCCTACCCCATTATGATATTTGCCATTAGCAACAAACACAAAATTAATAGAGGACTTAGAACAGAATGTCTGCACATAAGGAAGAATGAGCTAGCAAATTCCATCATCTTTTGAGAACAACTTTACATAAACATCCAACTGCAAAAGAGGACATGAGATAGCTAGAAACTCAGCTTCAGTATTGCCTTCTACCTACTGTGGATAAGGCTATGAAGAGATCCTCTTTGCTGCGTAGCTCAGCAGACTGATGCCAGAAGATGGTTTGAATTCAGAGTCTTTTTTTCTAAACACATTTATTTTAATACAATCAAGATGGAATTTGAAACGCCTAAATATTACCTTTCCCCAAACCTTTCCTACAAAAGTAGGGATGAAACCAAAGAAAAACCATTATCAGGACACAAAACCAGGAAATAAAAGGGAAAAAAAAAATTCCCCCCAACATCATCACATTGGAAACAGCACTCCTCACAATCACATGCTTGAACATGGAAAGTAACTATATATTCTATATCGTACTCAAATTGTCTTAAACACAGAAGACGTGTTACTGAAAAGTCACCACTGAATATGAATTCAAGCCTTACAGCTCTAATACAACAGTAAAACAGACCTTGAAGATTTTGTGGTGCTTCTAGGACCCTCACCTTCCTCTCTGTGAGCCCTTACAAACACCCAGCTGCACACTCCTACCTGGCATTTTGCAGGTGTGGTTTTCTGACCCTTTTTAATATGGACATGGACAGGGGTGTTTTCATCCACATGGACGTGCAAAGGGGGAGATGAGGAACGGTTCTTCATGGCTCTTCTCCCACAGATGGGAAAGGGCAATACAATGAAAGGAAACCTGTGAATAAGGAAACTGGAAATAACAACATTTCCCTCTGTGCCAGACAGCAACAATGGCCAGCCTTGGTTAACGTTTGAGCTGTCTTTCTCTAGCATCTGCCATTTTGAATTGCACACTATTTTGCTGTAAAGCTAGGATTAATACAAACAATTTCTCTGCTTCTCATATTTTCTGCTTTTAACATGGTTATTAAAGACCAAATACAGTTGGATTGATAGCAGGTGTCTGTAAGAGTCATTGGAGTTCAAAGTCTTAGAGTAAGTGAGCAAATCAAGGGTTCCAGTAACCAACACAATCTGAATATGAAGAGAAATTTGAAAGGGGGAGAAGAGGAGCATTAATTTAACAGTGTAGTTAAGAAAAATCAACAGGAAACCACCAGATCCTTCCATCTTAGAACCCTGAACGTGTAAACTCTTTCATATACACTTAACTTGAAGTGTCTTTTTGAAGTTAAACAAATGCTTAAAAGCTTTTGGACCGCGACATTTCTCTAATCTTCAGAAAAAAAAGCATAACCTTAACCAATATCTAACAGAACATGGAAAAGCTTAGAGACACAAGGTTAAAGTCATCACCATTGAACTTGATGCTTTGCTCAAGGTAATGGTATAATGCAATTGCAAATCTTACAAAAATCCACCAGCAGCACTAGTCTGATTCTAGCAGAAAGGTTTTTGTCAGCCTAGGTAAAATTACTTACAGTTATTCTAATGCTTTTAGCTCTTCTGGACAGTGCACTCTGTAGAGAGACCGAAGTCACTTCATCGTTGATGGATGAGGGACACCTGGTACAGAAATAATAAAATGACCACTAATAGGAAAAGGTGCCATTCTTCCTCTCAGTTTAAGGCAACATGCAGTGTCAAACATATCAGACACATCAAATGTATGAACCCAAACAACAGAAGTTGATGTGTCCTGGCTTCCTCTGACAAACATGGGATGAGGGAAGAACTGAGATCGTAATTCCTTACATATTGATGATGAAAGTTGGTTTAAACAATGGAAATGTTCTGGACAATTATATGATGGCCTTATGATGACCTTCAAACTCTAATTGCAATTTTTAATCAGTTTCATAAGGAAACCAGGTTTGAACAGTTCCAAGGTACCTGTACATCCCCTCCCAAACCCCACACTCTCCCTAAATTCTGCCATCATCAACAGATTCTGTAAAACTTGACAGAAATGTTGAGGTCCTAGGTTTACACAGTTTTACAGGGTGGAGAGATGCATCCAAATCAGCGCTCGTGCTGAAGGAAACCCAGCACCACACAGACTGGTGTTGCAGGTCGCTGCCTGCCCAGCAGATAGGTGTGTGCCAGTTGGCTGCCCAGTAGCACACACAGAACTGGAAGTCAGCTACAGCATGAGCAGCTTCTTGCCTGGTAGTACCTGGGGGACTTGAAGACATGAGAGCGAGGGAGGAGGGATCCCCAAAGGACTGATGTCTATAGGGGAGCGATGAAGTGATGGTATACCAGGCTTAGTTAGCTAACCTTATGGTAACACTCCTTCACAACTTGCTATGTAAGAACAAGTGTTACAAGCAGAGCGTTACTTGTGATGCAGTAGAGCAGCATTTTGTACAACACTTCTGCTACACTAGAATTTTGATCACTCTTTATAGCTCACTGATTAATTTGTCAGCTTGCCAAGGTTCATATAATCATCTATTCTAAATAACACTAATAATACTGCATCTGTTTTTTAAGCAGTATGTGTTTAAGACAAAACACACCTGTATACCATGTCAGATTTATCAAAATTACAGAGGGGAAGACACAGCCGTACTTCCCTTGATCAGGAACAGGAAGCAACAGTTTTCTGATGGAACAGGATTCCCCAGCTTCTAGCTATGAACAACTCCAAACACCGCTGGGTGTTTTAATCATCTTCTTTCCAAGGAAGAGTTAACCTCTCCTCAGGACTAAACCCGCACATCGGCTACAGCACTGACTGGGAACTTACACGCAGAGCTTTTGAATCACCACGAGTGAAACTCAAATGCTGTCACCCAACTTTCCCCTAGCAACAAGGTTTATGTCAGAAGTTTAAGTAATTTCTGCCGTCTCTGGAGGCTCTTCAAAGCATCTGTGGCTACCTCAGGCTGGCAGGAACCTCGCCTGGGGCCAGTCTCCCGCTCAAAGCAGGATCACCTCTGAGGTCGGAGCAGGGCTTTACACCCAGCTGGGGCTGGAAACCCCCCAGGGGCGGCACCACCCCCCGCGCAGCCCGTCCCAGCGCCCGCCCCGGTACCGAGCGCGTCTTCCATTCTATACTTAAAGTCGCCTGAGAGTTCCCGCTTATGCCTCGCAGCGGGGAGAAGCACCCCAAGGCAGGAGATGCTCCTCCTTACTGACGCGGCGGGGAAGGCGCCGAAGGCACTACTCCCGGGGGCTCGGACATCCTGGCGGCCGCACGGCGAAGGGACCCCCGCCCTCCCCGGCCGGACC